ACACTTAGATAGGAAGTATGAAGGAATCTAGAGTTCAGTCTGGGGTCTGTAGTAACTTGAGAAATGACCACTCAAGGCAAGGATTCTGGTAGTTACAAGTATAGAGCTCTTAAAAGAAATTGTTAAAATGAAAAATAATACGTGCTGTACCTTCACATTTTGCTTTATTAAGGAGTGATTTTATATACAAACAGGTAAGTTCTCCATGTCCAGGAATCTGCAAAGTTAAATGGCAGAGTTCAAAACACTTCAAAGTACCCTTAATTACTGCTTTTTGATCTTGGTATGTCAATACGTATGAGGAGAGCTTATAAGTTAGAATAGCCTCTGGAAAGCATATTGTTAAATTCATTTTAAACAAGCTTATTTTTGGCTTCAGTATTAATGTTATAGCTTACTCTTTGCTGTGGAGCTATTGCAGCAGAACTTCTGCCAGGGTTAGTTTCCAGTGTCAGGCAGGAGATCCCTGTTTTCAGCAGTCACTGCAGCTCTGCTGCTGAGGGGCTGGGCAGGAACAACTCTCTCTCTGTCTTTAATGATCTCGTGCAGGTGGGTTGAAATCTCTGCAGACCACCTGGGTTCCTCATTGCACAGGACCAGTAGCTTTGCTATAAATGTGACTTTTCCAATGTGCATGTAAGTTGGGCTTTTCCAGGAATTTAGTCAAGAATGAAGAAGTGCAATGCCCATTTATTTTTTAAATTGAATTGCCTAAATGTAAACAAATTTCCATGTAGGGAAGATATAATTTCTCTGCTTTCAGCAGTGCATGCATTGTTCAGACTCTTCTGTGCCTCTCTTTCACAGCTGTCCTCAGAGTAGCAGGTTCATTGCAGAAGAGCACAGAAGTCATGAAAGCTATGCAAAATCTAGTAAAAATCCCAGAAATCCAAGCAACAATGAGGGACTTGTCCAAAGAGATGATGAAGGTAAGATGTGGTTCATAAATCAGACTAGGGTGAACACAATGTTGTTACTGAGCCTGTGCAGCTGCTGGGGTGGCCCCTTTGTCACGGGGCTGGTGTGAGCTCAGAAAATTCTCTGACTCTGTGGCAAGTCTGATACTGGTGACACAAAGAGTTTTAAAAATCACCATTCCAAGTAACAATTTTCAGTCAAAATTTGGAGCATATGGGGAATTTATTCACCATAGACATGTTCAAAGAAACAACAATTTTCAGGCATTTATATACACTATAACAGCCAAGATTCTTTTTAATAGACACTCCCAAAAATCTGCCCAATTTATTGCATCACGGTAGAGGTGTTTTGTTTCTTTTAAATACTACCAGAACATCTCATCTTTCTTTGTTTAATGGATAACCCGAGTTTTATCCAGCTAACAGTGCTTTATTAAATGTGCTATCCTGCTTGGACAATTACTATTGATTAAGCTTTCTGGGGAGTGCAAGCCTATGAAGTGGCTCCCTTACTACACCTGCAATGTATTAATCAAGTTTTCTGGGATTGTGTAGGCCTTTGACTCCTTAACTTGCAAGATACTGTTCTTGTTCTGTGACATCTAATTCATCTCTAGTTACATGATAACCATTAAACAGTTCTCTGTTGAATTTTGTTCTTCAGCTATGGATTCTCTAAGGGGTGTGGGTCCATGGAGTTCCTTTTTGTAGGTGCAGTGAGGTAATTTCTCAGGGTTTTCTACTGACAGTTAGCCAACACAGGTGTAAACCAAAGCCAGCCAAAATAACACAGTCATACATTCCTTAACTAATTAAATGTAGTTCATTACAAGATTTTTAAAGAATTACAAAACCTCTGGCTAATTCAGATATATCAAGCTCAATGTCTCCATGTCATGAGAGTGCTCTGATTTGAAAGTATACTAAGTCTCTGTTACGACTGCTACATTTTCAACTACCAAAGTTGTTTTGCTTTTTCCCTTCCTACCACTCTAGATTGTTTAGTTCAAATAAACTCATTTCTAAATATTTTTTCCATTGTGCACCAGCACGGTTTGGCCATATCTGGCTTGTAGGGCCTGCAAAGGAATGTTTTCAAATGCAGATAGAAAAAATAAACAAGCTGTGTCAAAGAGCAGTTTTAGGGTGTGCTACACAATTCATGCTGCATGACTGAAATTTACACGTGTATTTCACATACTGGGAGCAGGCTGGGTTCTTGGTTTAGACATGCAACAACACTAAATAACCACAGAAGCATAGAATGGTTTAGGTTGGAAAGGATCTTAAAGATTATATAATTCCAGCCTCCCTGCTATGGACAGGGACATCTGCCACTAGACCAGTTTGCTCAGAGCCCCATCTAACCTGGCTAGGAACCCTTCCAGGGATTGGACATCCACAGCTTCTCTGGGGAACCTGTCCAGTGCCTCACCACCCTCACAGGGAAGAATTTCTTCCTAATATCTAATTTAAATCTCCCTGGTTTTAATTTAAATAACTTGAGATTTTCAAAGTGAGAACAGGTGCCTTTAATCTTCAGTTTTCTTCCTGCTTTTCCTATGCACCAGTTGTAGAGGTGTGTGCTCACGCTGAGGGCAGGTGTGTTGGCCACCCTCCCACAACAGCCTGGAACTGGAACCCCCCTGGAGCAGGGGAGTGTTAAATGCCTGGATAGGCATAACCTCATCTCCCAGGTAGAAATATCTTCTTCCTCTGCTGTTTCCAAGCACACCACACACTGCCTTGTTTTTTTCTGCTAGGCTGGAATTATAGAGGAAATGCTGGAGGACACCTTTGAAGGCCTGGAGGATCAGGAGGAGATGGAAGAGGAAGCTGAGGCAGAAATTGACAAAATCCTTTTTGAAATTACAGCTGGTGAGTTTGTGAGTGCTGCTGAGAGCCAAGTCCCTGCTCTGTTCAGTAAGATGCAGCAACTGAAATCTTCATCTATTCTGTGCTCTCCCAGTGGCCTCTCATCCTCTGGTGGTGGGCAGAGAGCTCTGACAAACTGGTTTCTCGGGGAATACTGGCTGAGAAGGCCAGTGGAGCTCAGCAGAGCAGAACTAATATCCATCAGCTGCTGTCTGTGCAGTTATGTAATTGAGGTTCTAGCAGATCTGTGTTTGGCTGTGCAGTAAATCTTCTTAACAATGTGAAACTTACATGATTGATCAGGTATTATTATTAATGAAACCAAGAAATAAACTCCACTGCACTGCCTTGAGTATGTGCTGTGTTGTGAGTCCTGGCAGTAACATGCTGTGTCTTATTTGGGGGAAAAAAACCCAAAACAAACACAAAAACCCTCTTAAAAACAAAACCACAACTTCTGCCTTCCAGCTCATGAAGTAATGATTTGCTGGTTCAGTTATTTGACTTGGAGAATGCTTAGCATGCTCCTTTCACCTGGATTGCTTGTGATGTGGTGTGACAAAAACAAGTTCCAGGACTGCATTCAGCTGTACCATACTGCAAGTGCAGCGCCCACCCTGCTGCCACCTTGTGCCCAGCACACACACATTGCCCTGTTCTTCCTCACGTCCCAAGTTACTTTTTCCACCCTGTTTCCTGGCTGGAGCAGCTCCCCTGCTCCTGAGCAGGCAGGGGGAGCTCCCAGACAGGCAGCAGGGCTTGAGGGGGAGGCTCTGAGCCTCCTCCCAGAAGGGAGTGCAGAGGCTCAGAGCTGGCAGGTCAGTGCTGCTGGGCAGCCAACAGCCCCCTATTGGCCCTGCCACAGCTCAGGGGTGTGACCTCCATAGGAAATGAGTGGTTGGGTTATTTTAGATGTCCCTGAAAGCCACTAATTATTAAATGAACACCTGACACTTGATAATGAGCCTGTTTTGTCGTTGCAGGGGCCTTGGGTAAAGCACCCAGTAAAGTCACAGATGCTCTGCCAGAGCCTGAGCCCATGGGAGCAGCTGCTGCTGCTGCTGTGGATGAGGAAGAGGACATTGAAGCAATGCAGTCACGGTTGGCCACCTTGCGGAGCTAGGGACAGGATGGATGTGTACAGTTTGCTTTATTTTATTCTGTCCTACCTTCAAAATGCAAAACTTAATGTATTCTCACTTATGTAATATATTTATATTTTATTTTCTTCCTGAGGATTTTTTTCTCCAAGACACTACTGTAATATACTGCTTGGGGAGTGCAGTCTCTTCCAGTTTTCTGTTCAGCCCATGTTTCCTGTGGTGACATGGCAAGGGTGGTGTAATGTTATGTATTTTTAGGCATAAAATCCTGAAATATATTCTCATCTTCAAGCAGCATTTCTCCCTAACAGGCACTTTGGTTTTAAAACTGCTACCAAAAACCTCCAGCACTGTCAGATCTGTGTTTTCCTGAACCAATACAAATTTTATTAAAGCTGCTTCTAACAGTCACTGCCATGCTGCAGTTTAGTTTGCATCACTTTAGCCTCTTCACAAACAATACCCACCTCTAACACCTCTCTTTTAGTTTCATAACACCTTTCTTTAGCACATTTAGGGCCTTCACTGCATAGTTAAAGAGAAGTTTTCAGTGTTCCAGCTCTGTATGATCAACAGGAGCCTGTTTTAGCCAGGGCCGTGGCAGAGTGAGGGCAGGTCAGTTGGCAGCAGGGGGAGGGGGACCCTGACGCACCAGGCTGTTGGCAAAGCTTCCTCAGACCCTGTGGCCATGCCAAGGCCTCTCTGCTGCTCCAATAGCACATTCCAGGGTCAAAGGAGAGTTGTGTCTCCTCCCAAGGAAAAGCTTCAGGCAAAACACATGTTATGGCTCACAAAAGGCTGTTTGCAAACCAAAAGCTCTGACCCAAACCCGTCACTGCCACAGCAGCTCCCAGACAAAGGCCAGAGATCTTCATTTTAAGGAAGACTTTCCCAAAGAAAGCCAAGTCTAAATAATTGTATCCCAACTGTAAGGGTAGAAAAAACACACAAGGCACATACAGATAGCTGGACAGAGTCCAACACCTCCCATTCTGAGCCATAAAAGCAGGTTCACCTTTGAGGCAAAGTATCCCCAGTGCTTCAGGGCTGTGCAATTCAAGTATTCATCTCCACCCCAAATGTAACAAAAACAGGCAAGAGGGACAGTTTGTTTCTTGTCTTAAAAATCCAGAAAGGACAGATCAGAAACAAAAGTGGATGACAGCTGCAATAAAACAAGATTGAACAACAGCACAGTGGCAAGACCTCAAAATCCAGCTTCAACAATGAGTCTTTTCAGAGTTATGTGCACACACACAGGGTGTATCCGTGTGACTCAGCTCCCTGGGAGGTACCTGTACTCCAGCTGCCCACAAATACGCCAGCTGACTCCAAGGAAAGCAATTAACTTGCTTCATGTCATCTACTTCAACTTGATAGTTCAAGGGAGAAGGTTCAGGTGTTGTTTTAAAGCATACTTCACAAGTTCAAGCACAAAATGCCAAATCAAGGCACCTGAAGTGACTAGAACAAGTTATTTACTGTCAAGAGGTGTCAGCAAGAGAAGGTGGAGAAAAGCTCCCACTGAATACAGTGAAGGGCTGTTGTGTAGGCAAACCTTCTGCAAGTCAACTTCACTTAGCTCTTACAAGAGAGTCCTGCTCCCTGCACATCACTGCAGCCTGTCTCCACTCCTCAGGGAGCAATCAGAGGAAGTTTCTCTGAAGAAGAATCCTGTCACTCAAGACAAACTCAACAGTTGATGCTGATCACAAACAGTAGGTGAAGTACTACAGGAAGGGGAATTTGCAGAGTTCAAGTTGTTGTATAAGCTAAGAAAAGTGAACTTGAAGGTTTCCGCTCCTGCCTGACTGTTCAGAGCAGCCATCCTGCAACTTTCAGTGCTGGGAAGGAACTAAAAGGTTAATTTTGTCTCAGGGTATCTCATCAAATGAGAGATTCACTTTTCCCACTCATAACCTCTGCCTATTTTAAGTTTTACAATGTTTCCAGTGTTTCTCCAAATAACCCTGAGTTCTGTGTGTACCATTTCAGACAAGCTGCAAAGCTCATGTGGTACAGACCTAGCAGCAGTAATCTGTCAGCTGGGTTAACCAAAAATAACCATAAATGGATCTGCCGCTAAATTCCATACCCTGAGCCTTCAAGCACTTCAAAAAACAGTATGAACCATTTATGATACACAGTTTTCTTTTGCATTTCAGAGTACTGCATCAAACTAATTACATTTTAAACAGTCAATTGAAGAAGATAGGCAAGGAACAGTATCTGAAATAGAAGAATTTTTATGTAACCATTCAGTGTTAAAAACAAGAGAATCAAACATCATTTCAAATTAAAGAGCAGTTTTGAACAGAAGACATTTGATTAAAAGTTTCTTTTAACATTTAGAAACTTAAATACATTTACCTAAAGATGGTTAACTCCCATCTCTATGTTACTATACAATAGCTTAAAGCTACTTTTAAATGCTAGTTCTATGTTAATGTGAAATTCCAGAACTGCATTCTTAACTTTTTATGTAAATTGGTTATTAAACTGAGCAATTCCATACTTCCTCCCACCCTAAAATAAATTTTAAAAATTGAAGCTTTACAATGCCTTGAATAATATTTTTCAAACGAGTAATTTGGAATAGTTCCCAACAGTTCTATAGGAGGTATTTTGTACAGTTTGGAGAGCAACTCCATATAAAGTTCTATTGCAACTGAGCATTCACAGTATGCCACAGTCCATACATATTACTACATATACATATCAGGTTTGTAAACATTGGAAGAATACACAGAACATAGTACCACGGTCCTCTGGTACTGCTGAAAGGAAGATGAGGTAACATTCATATAATCTCAAAGTCCACAGAGGTCCTGACTGAGTAGGTAAAACAGCTGCCAACGCTTCTGTTTCATAGTGTGTGGTTAAGGCGCTCTATGTCACGGTCTGCTAAGGCTGGATTCGTTAGCTCTCAGTATCCCAACTGCATCTTTAACAGCATGGTATATGACATTCTTCACCTGCAGGAGCAAAGGAAAAGGTGCTTGGTTTCACAAGCAAACAGCACAGTTTTCCAGCTTTCCCACTTACTTCCCCTCACCCTGTGCAGGCCAGTTTGAACACACTCATCTGCCTGACCTTCATGCAAATCACAGACTTGGGAAAATGTCTGTTGTGCTTTAGTGGTTTTTTTGTAAAGGGTCAAGAGCAATGAGCATTGGGAAGTTACCTGCAATTTATCTTCATGGTTTGTATGCGTATGTGACAGATATCTAAATTCCTGAGTGAGCCAGAAGCAGTGTTTGACATGCTCTGGGGATACAAAGTCTTCTGCAACTTTAATACAACTGTACAAATTATGAACCTAAAGAGAACAAATAAGCATTAGCCACGTGCTCAAAGAGCTGACCAATGGCAGTCAGGCCATTCCAGGTCCCTGGTGCTTGCCTGGTGTGGAGCTCCTGCTGGGATGAAAACTACATCTCCTAGAAACTGTACAATAGCCCAGCCTTGAACTCCATACTCCTGATGAAGGCGTTTCCTCAGCGGTCGGTCCAGGTACCAACTCTGATCGTGAATGGGATCATGATCTACAGGGTTTTCTTGGCCTTGTTCTTCTGCAACCTGGGAAAGTCACAAGACAACAGGCATTTTAACACACCAGTCTGACAGGACAGTCAAGTTGTACCTGTGGTATTCCATAGAAACATGTGCCAGAGCAGCTTGCATCATGTGTTCAGGTAGGAGAGTCACAATGCAAGTTTAGGTCTTTACTCAGACCTTTGTCAAGGATTCAGCATTTCTCAGGTCACACTGGCTTCAGATGCATTGCAAATGTGAATATGGAAAATGCAAGTAATCCCAACTGACAATGGCAAGTGAAGCAACTCATGTTCACATTGGGAACCACTGTCATACATGGAACCAGCATTCTGACACTACTAAAGCTGGAGAGGGACTGTGGAGAAAGGTGTGAAGTGACAGGACAAGGGACAATGGCTTTAAACTGAAAGAGAATAGGTTTAGCTTGGAAGAAGAAATTAGGAAGAAATTCCTTCCTGCAAGGGCAGTGTGGCACTGGTACAGGCTGCCCAGAGAAGCCCCATCCCTGGAAGTGTTCCAGGCCAGGTTGGACAGGGCTCTCAGCAACCTGCTCTAGGGCAAGGTGTCCCTGCCCATGGCAGGGGGCTTGGAATGACGTGGTCTTGAAGCTCCCTTCCAAACCCAACCATTATGAGATTCTCTGACTCTATAGCCTGTGACTGGAAGACACTGCCAAGTGTGGAATTCAGCAGGTGTCTGCCTTGAGGCCACAATCAGTCACTGTGTGCTCACTGACCCAGAGGATGCAAACCAGATTTTCAAGAGAAACAAGACTGGGAGGCACAACAAGCACTTCAGGACAGAAATTTGAGGGCTGTGGGGAGAGAATTTCTGCAAGAAGTTGCTGTATAAATCCAAATTACTGCAGCAGCCATTTACACCCTCAAAAACTCATTTGTGAGGAGATAAACAGCTTGGTTCTAATTCCACTAAAAGCTGCTGAAAGCCCCATACCTGCCAGCAAGTGTGATACAAGGGACTGAGGTGTGAGACAGATGTCAAGACTCCAAGTGTTAATGCTTATCAAACCCAGCATCATGTTTTACCAACCATAAGATTAGTTCTTTGTTAACATTAATAAGTTTGTTGCAGCCTCTCCCAGCTTCCACCACAAAAGCCATAAGCCTGACCAGGCCAGGAGTTGTCCAGATCATCCCATTTATTCTTTTAAATATCAGCATATTGCCTCTTTCCACTTCTAGAGCACCAAAGTTTCACAATTAAAACCACAAAGAACTCTAGACCATCTGATGTAAATTTAAACACTGACACAAGCCCTTTTGGATGTGGCAGCATATCTCCACTAAACGCTTAACTCCTGTGAAAGCATGACACACAATACCTCATACTTTTCCCTTAATTCAGACCTCATCCAGGTATGGGAGGAAGAAAAGGTAGTAAGAGAGAAAAGAAGGAAGATTGTTATGTACATGTATTGCTCTGACACTTCTTAAAAACATCTCACATTCTTCTAAAATAATCTAATTAAACTGCTCTAATGCTTAAATCTAAACCAGCTATTTTCTTGTTCACTAGGTAACAGTACTCATTTATGAGAAGAGTGGGCAGAAGGACATACAAGGTAACTTCAGGCTTCAACTCTCCACCCTTTTCAGGTCCTACAAGACTCATGGCACAGGCAAAGTTTTGTCTTGGATACAATTCAAGCTATTTGTTTCCACAGTAACTAAGATAGGAAGGAGGAGAAAAGCCAAAGGATAGAGACTTGCAAGCCCACACAGCCAGATCAATTTTTAAGATTAACAGCTTACCTTCTTAAGGAACTCCCGGATTTTCTCTGTATCTTTGGCAGCATAAATGTGCCACAGAGCTCCAGGCTTTTCTCGGCTTTCAGTAAAACGCTTAATTGTCAGTTCATCAGAGTCACCATCCTGGATGGTCTTAAGCACTTCTGTGGAGAGTCAACACAAGCTGTTACACTAAAGGATCTTCCCTCTGGGCACAGAAATATCCCCCCAGACAGCACTAACACTTCACCTTCTTCTTGATCAGCCTGGCCTTTGGGGATCCCCACGTAAACCATGACGTTGGCTGCGTCAGACACATCCAAGTGGAGGTTTGTTGTGCCGTATTTTCTGTCCTCTGGTGTTATTAAGCCTGGGGAAGGAATGAAAGGGGGGAAAAGGAGTAGTGGATCCATCAGTAAGACAACGAGTAATTTGGAATAGCTCCCAACAGGAACTATTTTGACACCATTGTCAAAAGCATTTTCTGAAAATATTAGAGCACTTTCACTTCTCCCAACAAATGCTTCCAGAACAGCAATATGCTTTCTATCCAGGACCTTACTCCATCTTGTGGCTTCCCAAGTGGTCTCCTGACAGGCTGATACAGATCAATGTATCTCTACCTAACCTGTATGATACACAAGTCATGTTTAAGTCCTGCTAGAAAGGGGCTTCTACAGCATTTTAAGATAAATGATGCATTTTCATTAATAGTCCTGTTTTCACTCTAAACAGCAGCTGATACAGGATTTACTATCCACAATCTCTCTACTGGTAATGATGCTGCTTCATTTTAAATGTCTTTTGAGTGACAGCAGATGAACCAGACATGGAAAAAACTGCTCATGGAAGGATTAACAGCTAAATAATTCAGCTCAAAAAGGAGAACAAAAGCAATACAGCCAGAAGGAGCCAAATAACAAATATATGTTGTCAGCTACAGGAAAAGAGGCTGTGGAACAAGTTTATTGGAAGACTGGGAATAACTACTATTGGCTTGAAACCACCTGGACAAAAAGATGTTTAATAAGATAAATCATATCATGCTCTGGACATCATTGATATCCATAGGTGAGCCAAACACAGGTTTTCTGATCTATGGGATTAATCAAATTGTCTACAACAGCAAGGATTCACATAATTCACATAAAAATTTGATATGAACATGTGGTCAATGTGACCTTTAGAGTGAAAAATTCCTTACCATATGCATTGTACATCTTGGGGCCCAAATCCGGTCGCACAAAATAGTTGGGAAGTCGAGAGGCAAGGTTGAGTTTGCCACCTCTCCTGGTGTATTCTGGCAATGGGATATTTTTCATCAAATCATCAAACCTAAGATAATGCAGCAGAATTTAACATTAGGTACTGATAAAACCAAACACAGACTGAAACAGACTGCAACAAAAGCTCTCTCCAGTCAAGGAAATGTACTCTTTCCCTCAGGGGGTTTGCTGGACATCATGAAAAGGAACTAAACAAACAAGGCACAGAAATACAGCAAATAAATTTAACTGCTCTGAAGTAATGCTATTTTGTTGTGTTATCATCTCAAGGAATATCAAACAGCCTAAGTCCTAATACTTAAAAATATTTGGCCACAAAGTAAGCTTCAACTGAACTTCAGATTTCAAAGTGGTCCAGGCTTTTAGGAGCAGTGTCAGGTGCTCACTTTACTTAGCAACAAACACAATGAACCACATAAAAAATTATCCTGAGACTTGTACAGGATTTCCATTTATGTAAGGCATCTCTGAGGAACAGAGCTGCTCACATATCACCAACTGCTGCTCAAAGCTGAGCAGGTATCAAAACACAAGAATATTCCTACAGTCCGTTATTTTGGGGGTGTACCACAGAAACAATGAACATTTCTACTAATTCATACCGAGAGGGCATCATATCTCTGAAGTCTTCTCCTGGAGGCCAGTCCTTAAGCTTCAATACCATTGGCTCTCCCTCTTCTGTTCTCAGGCGACCTAATTTGAAATATTAGCAAGTCTTACTTAGTTTTCAATAGTTGTACAACTCATAATATAAATAATTAAGATAAATAAATCCTTATCTCAGCTTTAAAATCATGTTCATTCCACAACTTTTCATGTAGAACTAAAGACATACAAGTTCTTCTGACACCAGAGTAGAGTATCACTCATGACAAACATGTTACAACAGGAGATGTCAGAGACAAGCAGCCTTTACTGCTTCCCTGCCTGAGCACTTCCTACAATTTAGCTCACAAAATTGGTTTGTGTTTGAGGCCAAAAGTAGCTGATGAAGCCAAATGTCTTCAAAGATAAAATAACAGAAAAGAAAGGTGTGAGTCTTCCACCTCCCACTCTTTTTGCCCTAAGTATAAAACTCCGTAAGTTTACAACTGATTTAACAGTAAAGCAGATCCTTAGATAAGGATGTGTAACAAACAGATAAAGTAGAACTCCAGATGCAATGGCAAGTGTTAATTCTCCTGGAAAAGCTCCAGCTCATCTCCTTAATCTATTTTTATACAAAGTAACCTCAGTCCCTCAGGACTTGAAGTACCTTCAAGTTAAAACAGCAGAACTCATTTAACCTGTGAGCACCACCCCTACATGTGTGCTTCTGTTTCACTCAATTGGGAAAAAAACCTGACAGGTGAACCTACTTGCTAGGAAGATGTTAAATTTCCTCAGAATGTTTCCCCAAAAGACTAAAGGCAGCAACATACTCCTGAAGGAGTATAGGAATGACAGTTTTTATCTAGTCCATAACCTTGTGAGCATAAATGTCTGCAATGTATCCTCACTAAACTGTCCAAGGTGAAGATAAATCCTTGAACATGTTGTAAACTGCTTATGGATCACAAACCTGTGCTAGGGAAGAATTATTGCTGCTGAGTGTTTTACCTATTGGAAAAAAGATTCACAGTACTTACTAGAAATATCTTCAAAACCATCCCAGAAATCCCCTACAGTAGCTCCAGTGATGATTTCATTGGTCCTGCAGTTAACCAGATCTACTTCCTGTTGGCCAAATTCCTTCCTAAAGGACTCCGGTCTCCAAAGGTCTGCATTTAACTTGTGGTGTACCCCTGACACCATTACAGGCTAGAAAGCAAAAGAATATAGCCTGAAGAATTATTAAACACCAAAAATTCTAACTACAGCAGGATAATACATAAAATACACTGAGCATTTGAATGCAGGCATTTTGCTAACTAAATGCTCCGTGTGCCCTATCTGAATTCTGCCTTATCATGCATCTGAGCATTCCCTACTGCAAACTGAGGCAGCTTTTTATACATAATTTCAGCTCTGTGCTTAGAAACAGATTTGAAAAGTAAAACAGGTCTTTAGGTAAGGATGTGTAATAGTGCTCATGACACACATTTGATGAAGGTTTAATGTTGCTGATCACTACAGTGGTTGTAGCTGTGCTTCAACTAAAGGACAATGTACATGAACTGCAAATGGAAAAAGCAGGAAAATGAAAATACCTGTCCCTGCTTCCAGCACTCCCTGAAGACATTCCAGTTGCTTTCATTGTTGGGATCCTGAAGACACAGCAGGCGGTTATCACATAACCAGTAGTGGGGCGTGTCAAAGCCCATTATCGTGGGCTTTATGGTCAATCCTTGAGGTTTCTTAGGCAAGTCTGTAATGGCTCTATTTTGCACCAGGGAAGCAAAAATGTCATCAAGGATTTTGGGTGTACTCTTCAGTCCATTGTCTGTCTGATAAAACACATGAAAGAACAAGAACAAAAAATTAGTGCTCTTTTCTGTTGCCTTATCCTGCAGGCTTTACAGAAAGTATTTGCCACTTCCATAATTTTTTACTTGAGATTAAATCATGCAGACAAACAAACAACTGCAGAACTTTGCTGTCTAGAAATGCACCATCATTAGATGCCAAAGCCATTTCTTACACTTTGTCTACAGAATTCTGGCACAACAATTTCTGTTCTAATTTGCATCTCAGCAACACTGTAGGAACCTAGCATATATATCAGGGAACAGGATTTGCTTTATATCAAAGAGCAGAAATTCAGCTTTAGCAAAAAAAACTCTCAAGGCCAGTATTTTTCCCCACCACTTTGAAGTCACATCTGCAAGGTCAGACAAAGCCCAGAAACATCTGAAGTGAACCAGTCTGCAAACAAGGTATGGGGAACACACCACAGAAGGTTCTCCATCTGCAAGTTCATTGGTGTTTCTTTTTGAGTCTAAAAGAAATCTCAACCAATGCAGCTGCCAGACTAGCCTAAGGAAGCTAATCTGCTTTATCCCTTAGCTCCGAGTTCCTCACCAAGACTTGCTGATAGTACCACTAAACCACTAACTGAGCACTGAAACACAGAAACTGAGTTCATCCCTTTTCCCAAACGAAGACAGAATTTTACTTACTGTGACAAGAAAGTAAACTGCCTGTGGAAGTTGTTCACAGGTTTAGAACTGACTCTAAGCCTGGGATCAACTCAAACCTGAAGGACAGAATTTTTCCTCTACCTTTCCTGCAGAAGAGTTCAAGAGGTTCCGCAAGAAGCCCGTGTTGTTGTTGCTCACAGGGGTTAATATTGCACTGTTGAATGTCTGCAGGGCTGCAGCTGGCTTGGCTAAGCTAGGGAGTGTCTGGAGAGGTTTATTTTCATTCTTTGAAATTGGTATGAGAAGCTTCTCTGAAATGAAGAAAGAAAAAACATGAGAATATTTTGAAACCATGGAAATACTTTGAATTATTTTTCAAGGCAATATCCTCCTACATGCATATATATGTATGTATGTTATAAGCACCTATATACGTATGTTATATATACATACATATATGTTATATACACATACATATATGTTATATATATATCTCCTCCCAATACATGCAGATAAAATATTTCTTTCATTTAACTTTCTTTAATAAACCAAAGCTTTTAAAATCCGATGTTCTTAAAAAAAAACCCCGAAACCCCCAAACAACAAGAACAAAAAGTATTCTCAAACTGAATTTTCAAGAATACTTGCATCAATGGGATTTTAATCCAGTTTTTGAAACAGAATATGCTAACTCTGCCAGGCTTTACTCCACACCATTGCCATAGCCAGTTCTGCAGCACAGGCACTGAACATCCATCCCAGCAGGCAGATAACATCACTCTCAGCACAAGATATTACTGGGTCTGACCTAAAGTCTTCTGAAAAACAGCCACAAAGGCTTTACTCTTCACTGGTTCTGCACATACCTTTGTTTTCTTTATTCACGTTTCCACTTGTTAGGTTTGAAAACCAATTTAATGAAGGAGAAGTATTTACAGAAGCAGTTTGTTTGCTTCCAAGTGCTGACTTTAGAGGAGGATCATGTGTAGGGACTTGTGGGCTCAGGACAAAACTGTTCTGTTGAAGGCCAGGCCTGTCTCCGGATGCCAAGTGCTGAGAAAGCAAAGCAATAACTTGTTTAGACACAAACACACTCTACACGAAGGGAATACAAGCAATAACATGTCCAAACTCATCCTTTGAAAAGTAAAATGGTTTGGCCCTTCAAAACATGTGCTCTCCACAAGAGGTCAGCATTGCAGCTCAGGATCAGGAGATGACAGTTCAGCAGGATTTCAGAGAGCCAAGCTTCCCAGGTGCATTTTCTGGGATTGCTTTGGGAACCAAGTGCAGTTTTAACAGCAGTTCTCACATTTCTAGTCATAGCTGATGCTCAGGCTGGAGCTAAGCTGGAGCTCCAGTTCAGAGAATTAAAACAGATATGGAACATTCCTAAATTTTTCTCTTAAGGTGGCAGCAGAAGGTCTGCCAGGTCTGAGCTACACCTGCCCGAGTGCAGCACTGGCCTGGCCAGCACAATCCAAGCATAGGATTGTCCCTCTCCTTTGCAGCTGAATTATCTGATCATTTGGAGGTCCTAGGAACAGACTAACCAGAACAGCTTTGCCCTGGGATTCCTGTGTGACTGGTGGTTTTCCTCTCTGAAAATAATATTTTCAGATATTATTCTGCTCTTTTGTCTGCCTACTGTTACATTCTCTATGTCATCTCTCACTGGCTGCTGATGCTTGCCAAGGATTCTAAACGTGACATAATACAAATCCCTTCAACCTTTAATGAGCTTATCCTTGCACAACAAGTGCAGTAACTAGTTCTATAAAGATGAGTAGATAAATTTAATGCAGCTCTTTGTCCACAATCACAGGCAATCTTAATTCAGAAGACTGAAGCCAGGTCAGTTGGATACAAACTTTTGATTCACATAACTATCTTCCACACTTTTAACAACTGAAATATTTTTTCTCTTCTGTTCATTACTTACAACAAAATCAAGTCCAACCTGCTTCTTACACTTAAGGTAAGGTTTATTTTCAAGATAAGGCTATGAATAAACATCTAAAAATTAAAATCACTAAATTCACCCCATTTCCTGTGAGATACCACCAACCTAAACTATTAATTTGTGCTCTGTTTTCAAAAGGAAAAAAAATATTACACTCATTTATAAATACATGTATCTTGTGGGGTTTCCTTTGTTTTGTTTGGTTGTTTGGTTTTTTTTTAATATACAGAGAAGAAAAACTACCAGACTGCCAGAGAAATCAGTGATTTTCCACACTCTTCTAAATCTCAATTTTTTTCATGTTTAGTTCTTTTATGCATCCCAGTGCTCTTCCACCTTACTAACTCTTTTAGATGCTGCATGTATTGTATCTCCAGGACTCAAGGAATAGCCTACACTTCAAAACCATTCCCACTCATCTGTTCTTCATATTCTTCTCTTAAGTGATCTCTCAATCTAATTCCATTTTTGCTCTACATATCCTCATGAGCCTTTTTCAAGGATAGGTCAACTACTGAGGCCTCAATGTCAAAGGAACAAAATGAGATTTTTCCCCCAAAACTTCAAGAACTGAACCAGAAAGATGAACAGTGAATACAAATTCTAACTATGTGGTGGGGTTATCACAGAGGTCAGGGCTGGCATCCTAAAAGTCAAATTAGCAGTGGCTTCAAGAACATGCAATAGACTGACACAAACTTAACTGCACAGACATAGAGGCAGTAACAATACCTGTTTTGAATCCTCCTTTAGAGCTGGCTTTGATAGTGCTTTAAACTGCTTATTTGCACAAGGGCAATTTGCCTTTATTCCCCATTTTGTTCTTACGGAGTGAACAATGTCACCAACATCGTAGAGAGCTGAAGGGAGAGAACCATCAGTGAGCTCACATGTAATCACAACATCCAGCAGTCACTCAGACTTTCTAAGAAATTGTGTGTTGTGCTTACAAACAATAACGTGAATACTGTTCATCATTAAACAAGAAGTTCTGCTACTTCTATGTAAAGGTCAAAGATAATAAAACAGTATTAAACACACATGCTATTCCTGTCTTTGGATAATAAATTTTAAGCTTTTACTAACTTTACTACTAAAATCAAACCTCACTCACTACAATATCAACAACACATAAAAGACAGCAAAATCCTACAGCATATTTTTATGCAGATGAAATATTTCCAGTACCTTTTCCAGGAATTATTTGTGTAGGCATTAGATTCTCTGGTTCATGTGCCTGCCCCTTCACACATTTAAACCAAGAGAAAGTATCTGAGTCATCATCTGTAAAACAAAAACATTACATTTTTTTGTTACTACTCTGGAAAGCCACATATTTTACTATTACTGATGTACCCAACCACAGGTCTACAACATGTCCTTTTGGTTGGGAAGGCTTTTTTTGGTCTCATTTAAGGTTGCCATTGACTTCCAAGTTCAACACAGATTTTATTTCCCTTCTTCCCCCTTTGTTTCAGGTAGTAATATGCACTCCCACCTTCATGTGAGCTTTTCTTCCTCATCCTGTAGCAATCCACACACACACCAAAGCCACACTTGGAGCAGACCCAGTGCAGGTTGAAAATTGTGGTGTCACAGACATCACACATCTCACGAACGCCACGAACCGCACGCTTCCAGGCCACCTGTCCTGTGGGCAGCAACGGGACAGTCAAAGTGTTAGTACAAACAAATCCAGTATTTGCATGTTCCTACAGTCACTTAAAAACTACAGTGATGTGACTCAGACTTGGTTTCGTATTAAAACTCCAAAAAATGCTTTTGTTCTTACACAACAGTCCAAGCAATTGAGATCAGTTTGCTTCCTCCTGTGCAGCACCAACCACTGCTCTTATTCCTGACATGTGTTTTCCCAAGTTAACAAGCACATTCCTGACATTTTCCTAAGAAGAAATACCACAGTTACTCCAGGAATAAATTCAGGTACTGCTGGCAAGCTAAGCTTAATGTGTAGCTTGCCAGCACCAGCTCGTCCTTGTTCTCTATTCAGTAGCATGGTGGGCAAGTAGCTGTCTTCCTTTTGGGAGGTTTTATGTGTTTGTGTTTATCTGACCTTCTCAGAATGGTGAATTTTCTTCTCTAAAGCACTGACTGCTGCTGTTCAGATTTCCTATGTATCCACTATATTCCCCTTTCCTCATCCCAAGCCACTTCTTCAGTTCACTCAAAACATCGCAAACACTGACAGTATCTTGCAAAAAATTGCAAGCCCTCCCAGAACTGCGTTCTTTTTCTGTGAATCTGTGATTATGCAAGAACTATTTTAGCCTGATCTCCATTTCCTTATGTTGCCAGCTAGGAAACTAGACAAGACAAAAAGCACACACCTGCCTCCTCCTACTACCTTCCACACTTGTAAATTCTCTGAAACTTTCCTGCCCACAATGTTTCTTAATTTTAAAAGCAACTTAAGAGAGATCATGTCCTAATACATGCTAAAAAAACCATACCAGGATCCAAGACATCTGTTGCTCTTCTTCTGAATAATGCCCATTGACTATGTATGGAACAACACTGGAATAGCTTTGCACACTTTGTTCTTTAGGAGGTAAAAATTGTTTGACTACTTGCTTCAGAATTCTTCCAAGAGACACAGGTCTAAATATCACCAGCTCTGTTCTTCTCTGCCTTTTAAAAACATGCACTATATTTATCATTTTCTAGGTCAACCCTTCAATTTCCCCCAAACAGGATGAAGGTTTCTTATCTTCTGAATGCCATTTCCTATCTTTCCTGAATCTTTTCCCTTTCTACTCCTTCTATTTTTTGGTTCCTCTCTGTAATTTGATCTTGTTTCCTTTTGGCATTTGGTGGCCAAGGAACAACATGACCTAACAAGCTGTTCTTTCTACACTGGTCAATTTTTTACTTCACATGGATAATACACTTTAATTTACCATAACTTCAAGTCAGGGTGGCAGAAGAATCTCCCTTTTTCCTGTGCTGAAACTCCCACTGAACTGTTCAAAAAACACCACATAACCAGACTGTAAATTACTCCTTTCCTGCTCAGGGAATTCAAAATAACCTCCATATTAATGAAAATGAATTCTTTTTATAGCCAGTCAGGGCAATAAAATCAAAGATGAATTAATGAGATTTTGCTCCTTTCAAGCCAATTCCAGAACTCACACATATCTATCTTTTTTAAGCAGAGGATGTTTCTGGTAGCTATGCCAACAGATGCATCCTCTGTTATTAAGAAACACCACATCTCCCCTTTGTTTCATGAATTCACCCAAAGCTTCACCCTCCCAAAACTGTTTCTCTATTCCAGTCTATATATCTCACTCCAGTTACAGATAACTTGGTTCCACTGGAGTGACTGCCAAACAGAGGATCTTTATCTAATGTCAACACTCCCCAAACACAGCAGACAGCGGCAATCTCCTAAACTGTGCTGGACCCTGGTCATGCACTTAAAATCCAGAAAACAAATAGTTTTAGGAGTCATTCTATATGCAAGGTCACAGATTTCCCCATTTGTCTGGTCACATTTGCTACAGAAATATTTTGATGTGGTCAAACCCCTGTGTTTGTAACTTCTCCTATCAGTTACCCCATCACCAGCACCTCTCTGGTCTATGCCCAGTCGGGCTGCACACAATCACTTCTAAAAGTGCTACTGGAAACTTGCAAGTGGAGGAAAAAGTCTCTTTAACTGACAGACAGCATTAGGTCCATGATGCAGTTCCAATAAAATAGGACCAAAGCAATCTAACAGAACCTGTGCAAAGTAAAATATTTATTTCATTTTTATGCCAAGAACAGATTTTGTTGTCAGCTACCTGGTAGGTGACTTCATTTTTTTTTTTACCACTTTGTAACAGGAAAAGTAATTTGATAAATTGAGAAACAACTTCTGACCAAGAAGGGTGGAATTACCTTTCCCTTCCCCCCTCCCTCTGAGGAGCAAAGAGTTGTTGACACTAGCTCACAGTGGCTCTTAACCATTCCCTCTCTGAGAAGAGAGACACTCAAGTCTTATATGATACTTTCAAATATACACAATTTTCATACAGAAGCTAAAGGTTTCACATAAAGCTGTAAAAACACAGATGATTTCAATACAAGTTGATCTTACTGTGTGGTTCAATTGTTGACATGACTTCCTTTTCAGATATCACCAGCTGGCAGAAGTGGTCTCCAATGTTGGCGAGGATGTATTTTGCTGTGTCCAGATCTAGACCCACAACATTTTTGGATAAGGGCAGCCACAGACTAATAGCCTCAGGGTCATACTTATTTGGAGTTAAGAAACCTTCCTCACGCAGTATTCCATGCTTATTAAACTGCAGCCTGATGAAAAAGGGGGAAAAGAACAAAAAGCCCTCATTGTGTCAAGTGCTATACTGGTTTAAATTCATTCCAATTTGTCAATGCTTGAGTTGCAAATACATTTACCGTATGCCAGTGAATTTACTCAAAGGTTACAACAGACATGGGTAAACATATCGGTCACTAGCATTAAGGATGTTCAACACACTGCTTGTTTTAAAGAAAAAAAAGACTAAAAACATCCAGGTTTTTAGTTAGGAAATCTACCTTACAACAAGTGGCTTTTTATTCACACAAAACCAAATCAGGTTTACAATTTTTAAAATGCACTAGCATTAAGGCCACATCTAGAGATGGCAACAGCAATGATTTTATCAAGGACTATATACAGCTCTCAAGAGAAGTTAGAATGCCTTAAATATAGAATATATTTCAGTAACAATTCATTTGGAAGCAGCTGTCAAAAAGCATCAAGCAAAATTTGAGTAAGACATACTCTTGAGTGATTCTGAGTAGGTGGAAAGAATGAGATCTATATTGTTAGTAGTGTCTTAAATAGAAAACATGAGTTCTGCTCAGGAACCTTTTTACTAAATGCTGTAGAAGAAAGGTGACTTCTGATGACAATGTGTGCTCACTGTAGTGTTAAGTGTGGCATGAGAACAGTGCTGGCAGCTGCTGTCATCAGACAAATGCCATCTCCAGATTTGACAGATTTCACATTCCATAAAAATGGATAATTTCATCACTTTCAAGTTCTAAACCAAAGGATTCATCTGATTTGAACTGCACTGCAAATCTGAATTGTTATCCTGAGAGGATGAATTAGCATAGTCTGTTGCAACTTTGGTCTTACATATCAGATTATACAAAGATTTACTATAGTAAAATCTCTAATCTAAGGATAAACAACAGATTAGTAGCACATCTGTATTTTTATATATGTTTAGCAACAAAACTGAATTCTAGTGGGTGCACAGATTAAATGTTTCCATGGCAAGCTTAAATGTCTCCAGCTGAAAGCCCCTAGCCACTTACTGCAACTATTCCACAGCTTTGGGTTCATGCTTAACATTTCAGGTGTCCAACCACTAAACTTTGGGAAACCTGCATGGAATCTACCCTCTCATTAGTATCTCCAATTCTACTGAGCTGTAGCACTCAAAGTAAATTCATGTTATCCGACTGGCACTCAGCCCAGAACAGCAAAATAAAGAGCTCTAAGTCCTGCCAAAATATTTTCTGCTCAAATGAAGCAGTTGTATCATTTCTAAGGGCTAAAAAACCATAGGCAGCCACTCATTAGCTGGGTATATTGGTCTTATAGCTACACACCAGCATTAAACAGCTTTGAAACAGAGACCTACATGAGACCATTCTGGCCAAATAACTGGGTTTTTTTCACATTCCTTTCACATTTAAGGAATTCCAAGGTGTTTATCTAAATTGTTCTTACCTTCTGAAGTGAAAGAATCGGCAGAAGACAGTGGAGTCTCTCTGCTCCTTGTTCTTGCGGTAGCTGTCCAAGCGGCACTCCCTGCACTTGTGCAGGTGAGGGGCGATGTTATTGCAGGAGCCATCCTGCACAAATGCCTCTCCACTCTGTTGCAGCTTCTTCACTTTAGCAGCATCAGATAAAATGGACTTGCGAACAATTACTGCAGGGAAGAGCAGCCAGGATTAGAAAAGCCTGTTTTTCACACGCAAATGCCAGCAAATGTATTTTAGTGAAAGATCCTCATCAACTTTTCCTGTAAGTTTCACATTACGTTGAAACAAAGTTATGCTAGAAATATTTGTAGTTGGCAAAAACCTCTTCTCCAGTCAGCAGGAACAGTCTCAAGGTGTAGTTCCAGTGGAGTCACACAGTCTGTGGACCCGAATTTAAGAGCTCCTTTCACTTTCTCACAGAGGAGTATTTTGAAAGACCATCTGCTTTTAAAGGAAGTTCTTCAGACAGAGCTGGAGCCATGAGCAGATTAGGGCATGAAGCAACAACATTTCACAAGAAATGGGAACAGAGTACAACCTGGCCATTTCTCAGTCCTGTTTTCCCCCTTAGTGATGCAACAGCTTTCAGCATCTTACCATAACAGATGCCAAACATTTCCCATCCTCCTACACTGACAGTGAGGCCTTGCAGGGGACACAACAGTGGCTGCTTGGCTGGCTCTGTATCCAGGCTAATTATGGTATAGCACATGGTAATCCAAGACCAAGCAACAGGAAAAATATATATATAAAAAAAAAGAGGCGGGTATGTAGGGGGATTCCCAGAGTCCTGAACAATAAGCAATATCACCTGATGCACAGCAGGACACATGACACCAGGAGTCCAGCTCCTCAAACCATCACAGCCTTTCCCCTCCTGTCCCATGTGAAAACCTGAAGAGCTCACCAAGTGGAAAAGAGGAACAAGGATGGTGGTTTTGGGGTTGAGTGGTTTTGGTGGTAGTGGGTGGGTTTTTGTTTGTTTTGCTCTCATGACAGTTTTTAAATTAAAGCTCCTCTTGAACAGATCTTTGTTGAGGACAACTTCCACCCCTCACCATTTTTGTGAAATTTAGGACCGTTGCTAAAAGGTAGCCTCATTATGCCATCAGCATCTGTATTCCAAATAAAACCTTACAGAACCTCTTTTGCTGTTCTGTTCTTGCATAAATTTTGTTACAACTTGTTTCTAAAAACTAATTATTAGTTCTTTTCCTTTATCAGGAAAGGGTGTTTCTCCAGTTTATTGCATTCCCATCATAAAAGAACATACAAATGACTCAATCCTGATTTACTCACACAATTTAAATTACTAATTTTGCATGCATAACAAATTTCCTACTTCTAATTAGAAAATACGACTTTCAAATGACAGGAAGTTTTAGAAACACTTACTATTATCCTGGATCTTGGCAGTTCCAGTCCAAAAGCTTTCACTCTCACTTTTGTCACAAAGAATCTCATTTGAATTTCTTCTAATAAAAAACTCCATGTCTGCAAGTTCATCAGTCTTGTTTCCTTTGTGGCTGCTGTGGCTGTTGCAGCTGCTTTGTGATTTAACCCCACACTCATTGAAGGACAGAAGATGAGCATCTGAGGTTGAGGGTCTGCAATCTAAAGTTCGCTGCAGTTCAACAGTGCCACTGCCTCTGGGTACTGCTATGGAAGGGTTGGGATGCTGCAACTGTTTTATGGAAATGCATTCCTTGGGAAAGTTTGTTGTGGCCTTCATAAAAGGGTCATTAGTACTCTTCAGGTTGGTTCCCTTTTCATTAGCTGAATCAGTCAAAGGTGAAGATCTTGAGGTTTTCAAAGAGGTATATTTACCATTTTGATCACTAGGATTTTGTGTTTGCTCTTTAGACATAAACCCCACTTTAGGAAAGGCCGTCAGATCTTCTGTCAGTGGTTTAACTCCAGTATTAAGACAGGAAGGATGAGTTTCTGGTAAGCTTCGTCTACATGAGCTGAAACAACATGCAATAATTAGGGAAAAAAAACACAAACACGTCAAAAAAATCAGAGCATCAGCTGCTCAATCTAGCCACATTTAAAGCCTGAAAGAAGAAATTTAGTTATGGGTTTGATTTTTTTTAAGAGTTAGAACAATAAAGCTCTACACCCATGTAGGCACACAAATTTGGGTATTGCTGCTACTCCACTACCTTCTCTCACGATTAAACAGTTGCTTTCTCATTTTCTCCATGAAACTGCTGAATAACCAAATGCATTTCATTTACATGTCTCTGGAAAGATTCTCAAGGAACTTCTGACTGGCAGCCCAAGTCAGTATGCTGGAAACTGTAAAACCTCACTCACAGAAAAACCTTTCCCTAACAGCACTTCAAATTTGGGTTTTCCTGCCACACTGCTTCTACCGTTACATCCATATTGTCACATGACTGGGGGTAGCAGAAGTTCAAAGGCACTGGTGTTCAACAGAAATATAACTGAGAACCTGTAGCTGATCTGCAAGAAAGCAGACACCTGCCTGAACAAGCTCTGGGTTTTCTTGGGGGCAGGGAAGGAATGCATTTGACAAAGCAGACACCACACCTGTATATCCACTTACAGGTGAGTACAATGAAGCAGTGACATTAGCCTGGCACATTGAAGGGCCACTTCCTTAAAGATAAATAAGAACACAGCATTAGGAAGTAAATTACATATCTAGGGTAAGCAAGTCTAACACTTTTCTATGTTGGTATTACAGAAGAGTAGTTACTACAGCTCTTTAGAACTACCTCAGAGTTCATTGTGCTAAGAATCAGAATTATTTTTGGAAGCAAAACATCTGTATAAGCATAAAACTGTTTCCTTACCCCTGAGGAGTTTCTGCACCAAGGTTGGGTGGTGAGTTGGCTGGCAGAGGCAGGCCTTGGTGCCTTTGGTCTTTATTTGCAGGAGTACATCCCAGCAGTGCTTCACCCAGCACAGTTGGTACTGACTGCACGTGTCCCTGGCTGGGAGAAACCTGCAAGGGAGATTTTAACAGTTAGAAAAATTCAGAATAACAAAATTATAACTTTGCAGGGTTCAGCCTGAAATGAAAAATATATTAATACTCTTCCTACCATGTTTAATAAAGCAAATTAAAGAGTCACTTAGTTCATGAGGTGGAAAGACTTTAAAGTGTCCATTTAAACCTCAAAGTTCCATGAAAGACCGTTCATATTAATTCATTTCTCCCCAGTTAACAACAAACTTTTTGGGCAAACTGCATTAAGCAAGTGGAAATGAAGACAAAGTTCTGCTCTTTGTGACTGCCAGTGCAACAGTGTTTCTAAAGTAATTGCAGTAATTGGCAGTCAGAAATAAATTTCTTAGCTCAGCTGAAAATCCCATAGAAAATCAGAACTGTGAAGTCTGACAGCATTACCAAAGACCTGAACTTTCTTGTAGCAAGAAAAGTTTTGCACCAGAATTCTAGAAAGTGCTAAGTAAAGAAATCCTACATTGATTAAATCACCATCCTGAGAAATCTGTAATTCATGTAGGAATACAACAGGCCTACCAAATTAGCAAGTGTCTTTAGAAGAGTAGCTTTTCTGTGGGGGTCCTTCCCCAGCTCCAACATTCACATTTTACTCCCACGTGTTCCACTTACTGCTGGGAAGTTACACTACAGGCTCCTTAGCATCAGCTCCAAAATATTTCCTTTTTGCTTTGGTATTACACAGCTGTCAAGCTCTTAGAAAAATGCTGTAGATAATTAACTCCACACAAGAAATCAGTACTATCACATACTTATTAACTTCAACTGATCACTCCCACATACAGTCACCAAAATCAGAGTAACAAATAGCTTCTGGTTTCCTTACTAGAAAGCACACTCACTGTAAGCACTTAGAAAAAATGGTTGCAAGGCATTTCCCAAAGAGTACAAAAGTGATAAATGATCCAGTCCTTTGAAGGAAGGCAGACTGGAAAATGAAATGTAAATAACTTCACTGCTTTAAGGAAAAACTATGGCAAAACAAGCTATGAAGTCAGATCATGGTAATTCTTCAGCAGGGCATTTGGAATGTGAAATACAGACCAGCTTTGTGTGTGTCAAGCAGGCTCCTCAGTGACTGAATTATGCAGAAAACTGAAGAAAGGCAGACTGAGCACCAAAAGCTGCTAAAGGTACCCAAGCACAAGCTGTGGAAACAAAACTGCAATCCGTTGCTACTCCATGCTGCCCTGCTGCATGCTCTTCCTCAGCAGTAAATACAGGACAGGAGAGTCTCTTCACTGAGGCATCTTACCCTGTGCTTGTTGCCTCATGCTGGTTCTCTGTGAGGTTGTTAAAGATTGATAATGACTACACACCCAGCCATTATCCAGATCTGCACAGCTGACTCCATACAGGACTGACTGCAGAGAAGCAACACAATCCCCTCCCTCCCATTCCAGAGCTTCCTGAAGACTGGCTACTCCTGCCTAAAATGCAGGTTTTGGTCTGAAACACTGGGGCAAAATTACAGGGGAAGTTTGAAATACTGTTCTTCAGCCAAGCCATGGTTTTTCATTTGCATTTCTACACTTAAGTTACCCGGACTGTCTTTTGACCTTAAAGAGTTTACTTATCTCTCAGTGATACCTGGCAGGTCACTCACAAAAGAAATAAAATCAGACAGGAGTACTAGAAAAGTCACATTCTCTTTCTGTACTGAAACAACCTTCAACTGCTGCTTGTGCAGCTTGAATCCTCAAAGCATCCAAGTGCAGCTAAAGGTTTTGGGTTCAAGTACAAAATACTTAAAGAAAGAACATGAAAAGCAAAGGTTATGAACTTCAGAATTCCTTTGTGTTTTCTCCCACTGCAAGAATACTTGACCAGGCAGACCAACTCCAAGGCAGGAGGAGGGCACAAAAAGCACAGTAAAAAACCCCCAACAAACAAAACCCCCAACAAACCACCAACATTCAAGGCTTAGTAGCTTTTTTTTTTCCAACTATCACAAGGCAAGATGTTCAATTCATGCCCAGACAAACTTGAAAGAACTCAATACACCCTCCAAGAGATTATATTTATCATTCTACTTTCCAATCTAATCCTTATTTAAGATGCTTTGAGAAGCGACATAAGCATTATGTAAAATGCCATATATAACAGAGCAAGACATTACCTCAGGAGAAGATTTTGTGTGTTTAGCATCAACATTTCCACTGTTCTCAGTTGACTTCCTTTTCACACCCCCAATTCTTTTTGATTTATCTGAAAGAGGTGATCAAGATTAGTCTATCACAAATAACCTATTTAGTGTTTGAAGGACAAAAAGTAATAGGTCTTACCACATTTTCCATTGTTGTCATATATGATTTCAACATGAATTAATTCTGGATCAAGAGTTTTTAAAGCTGGAATCTTGAAAAGGACAGGAAACACAGAAGAAGCCATTTAGAGAGGTGAAACTATTTGAGTATATTTATCTTAGATGTGGTGGTATGGAATAAGCTTAGACACTTAACTTCTAGGTTGTCTGAATACCAAGCTTAATTTAACAACATACCATGTGACAGTGTCTCTGCAAAAAACAAACTGTACTTGAGAGCACTGTCTGCACAAAGAGCAATGAAACCGAGATCATGTTTGCTTCACTCTTGGAATAAAAATGTCTCCCTCATTTTTCATAGAAGGACATTTGTAATTTAATAATTTACCAGCAGCATAAAGAAACACTTCAGGTTACATTGTTCTGCACTACACTGACACCCACGTTTAAAGATTGCAGTAAAGACAGAAATAAAAATGGTGTTGCTGGAGATATAAACAAAAGTTTGCAATTATTCCCCGTATCCATTTGTAAACCACTGCAACTGGTTCCTACCTCCTGACAGTTGACTTCTAGAGTTCTTGTAGCTGGATTACCATTGACAACAACAGCTGTGAACCACTGAGTGGAAGGGTCCAGGCTATAAATCCTAATTTTTGAACCAATGATATTTTTTCCACCTACAAAGTTGGGGGAAAAAAGAGCTTAAGACAAGGGAGGCATGAAGATCACCACAGTTCTCAAAATGATTTTTTCTTGTCCTTGCAGTATGGGAAATGAAAACTGTAAGCTGCAATATTTACCCTTCCATAAAAGTAATTCCCTGCATGTGCAAACACATAACTACAAATATGCTGGTATAAACCCAGTCATTAAGAATTTAAAGCTGGCAAAAAAAAATAACAATTTTAAATCTGACTAAAAAAATGAAGCCTCTATAGAACACCTTGGAAGTATTCATAAACAAACTGGGAAAAAATTAGGTCACTTGAAACAATAAAATCAAAATTTTTGAGAATTACTACAAGTTTGATCGATTTCACAGGTACCAGGCCATCTATATGTGCCTGAATTACACACTCTTAAAAAAGAAATACTTGAAACTTAAACATCTACAATCCTTCACATTTTGCATTCACTGCTGAGACAGTAAAATCAGTATTTTTAAAAAGCTTTTATCCCCTAGAACAGATTACCAATTAATTAAACCAACACTGCAAGGATTTCCCTTTGGACCTGAGCATTTACTGCCAGTTTTCCGCTCCACAGTATGCTTGTACCTTGGACCAAGCGTGTCTCATCAAGGTGTTTCTTAACCAGAGCCTGAATTTCTTCATTTACATTTTGATCATCTTTAAGAGAAAGCCTGGAACTGTCCACATCCTATTTCAGGAGAAAAAAAAAAAAGAACAGAAGCTTGCATTTAGGATAATGCTTTTAACAAAATCCCACAATATTTAAAATCAAGATGGCAGCAATTCTCATTAATCTGTTCCCCATCAGTTCTAGGATGATGGACTGGAGGCAGATAATTTCCTGTCACTAATTCGCAACAAGCACTTGCAAGACAGACTGAAGTGAGCTCTCCATATCTACTTCAATATTGTTCTGAAAATAACCCAGTTTTATTGTACTACATTGCTAATAGCAGTAAGTCTGAACTGTTCATTCTTAACTTAGGATTCTAAGTTCTCAGAAGCAGCAGCAAATTTGTCCTGAGCAGACACAAATGAAAATATTTTATGTTTCTATTTGTGATAATGCCAGGATCCAAGACACCATTATAAAATGTTTATAGGAATGAAAACAGAGTCAACTACATATAAAATATTCATAATTCTTCAGCATGATGTATGTGTATTATTTTTTCCTCTTGAATTCTTGAATGAGAATTGACTCTGAAATGGAAAGGTCACAACAAGTTTCCACTCAAGGCTCAAAGAGTGCAAATAAGAAAAGGGTTTGGGGCTGGGTTTTATCTTTTTGTCCCAGGCACTGCTCTGATATTTTTAAGAGGAAGACTGAAGGAGTAGAAGTCAGCAAACAGTTATTCAAGATGCCAGTAAAGCAATCTTTTCCACTGCAGTGCTGAGATAAGGCTTCTGCATAAAGAGATCTCAACCCTGCTGTTGAGCAAACACAAGCAAGACAACCATCTACAACTCAAATTTGGCTTTTAGTGACTCTCTTGTCAAGAGTCTAAAGGATTTGTGTATTTGCTGACTGTTAACAAGTCAAAGTAGAACACCAATGATGACACTACTTGCAGTTCCAACATGGGACAACCATTACTACTTTTATTTCAGATTGTTTACCAGTCTTAAGAATAGTTTCTTAAAAAGGGTAAATCCTTTATCTTTAGCTGATACTATTCTTCCAAACACCTGCCCAGGGACAATTGTTTCAACCCATGTCTAATTTTCACTATCAAACTTTCCTCTGGTGCTCAAGAAAGGGACAGTAATTCAACAATCTCATTTACATTCTGCCCAATTCCTCATTTGTTTAGGATTAGCAGTAATGTGTTTCTGTTAAACAGCAAGATTCATGCCAGACATTCCTGCAACTCCTTGCAAAATAATGACAGTCATGTCCAAAAAAACAAAAGGGAAACTATTCCAGGTTATCCCCAAAAATCAACATGCAATTGCAGTCACCTGAGCTGAATAACTGTCCCTCATCCAGCTGCACAGTCCCTCATCCAGCTCTCCTAAATGACCCTGTCCTGAATCAGCTCCAGAAGGTTTTTAATCAGACACATTACATTCAGAACTGATACTTATGAGTTACAGAAATAAGCACCTCAAGTTTTTACCCATCTGAAGTTTGCATTTCCATTACATTACCCTGATGCATCCTAAATATCAGGATATGAGATTCATCTTTCATCTCTACAATGCCAATCAAGGTTACCTGGATGGGCGTCAAGAGGTCTTTAGAAAGAAAAACACACTTCTCTTCACCCAGGTAGCGCACGGAAACTAGTGATCCCATTCCAGCTTTGTCCACCAAGGACTTGTAGGTCTAAAAAGAGCAATAAACAAGTCTCAGAAACAGAGTATGAAGAGCTCATCATTCATCATTTACAATCAAACAATTACTTTAATTTTGCTTCTATTTCTTTGTTAAGTTACTACATCCAGAGGCAACTCCTAAAAACAAAGCTAGTTTCCAATAAAACTTCTAATATACACTTAATGAAAGTTACTAGACTCCACTCGAAATTAATTTTACATAGCAGTGTGAATTAGGAATTCAGTGCAGGTGACTATCATTAGCAAGTAATCATTCATGCCCACATGAAAAATTTATTAATGTAATAATTCCAATTGTAGATATATTACTAATCAATCAATCTCCTTATGGTAGACTGGGGAAATAACTAGCAAATCAGTGAATGTCTGCAGCATAGTTTATATTAAAGTTCACAAAACTTGTGCAACACTGATAATACACTGAAAACTTAATTTAGGCACATGTGATGATTTGGACAGCCTCATAGTTGTTGTAACACCGCACTGCAACAATGAAGTTGTGTTCAGGTATACCAAAGGCTTTAAGAACAGACAAGAAACAAAAGTTTCCTTTAAAAGCTTCTGAACACTTCCTAAGTGTCCAGAAGTTGCAAGAGTAACTCCTCTCTACCTGAAAGGTATAGCTGTGCCCCATTTACAAAAAAGGAAACCATTCTGATTGGAGAGGGCAGCCTTTTTTTGATCAGTCCTCCAAAAACCCAACCAGATACTCTTTCTCATCTTCACCTCAGTTAGGACAGCACTGGCAGAGGGACAAGATCCCCACAGGAGGAACTAGTCTCTCCAGGAGTAACTGAGCATTACAAGATTCCTACAAAGCTACTCTACTTGTCAGAAACACACTCTCCCATATACTTGAACCAGTAAGTTGTGATCAATTTTCAAATGAATTAACCCACACACCGCTTTTGTGACCTCTGCTTTCCTGCCCTATGTAAAAGGGAGAAAGTCTTCTTTTGCCAAGGCAACATCCAGGACTGGCCTACACTTGATACTACATCTTGCTTGCTAAATGAGCTTTGAAATACGTACCCTGCATGAACTGACACATCAAACACTTCAGGAGGAAAACCTAATGCCAAAACTGAAGACAAGTCTCCAGTAAAAACTATTCAGACACTAGGAAATGGACAACAGCTAAGTTTAAATATGAAGGTTTTCAGAACAGCAAAAAAAGGTTTTCTGTTCAGCAAAATCTAACAGAGGAACTGCTGGTATTAATGCACAGCCCAGGAAATAAAATTAAGGATTTATATTTCTACTTCCTCTCCCACTCTATTGGGTCCTAGTTCCAGTAAGTATCTGCTTATATTGACTTTGCTTAAGAAAGAAAGACCAGCTAAAATGCAGCAATATGAATTACAATGCACTCTTTATACCTAGCAAAGTTAATAGTATTGAAACAGACTACAGCTTCAGCATAACTCATGTTCAGCAAGTTTACAGGTTCACATCTTCACTTATCTCACTACTTTCTTGAGCAGCACTATCCAAAGTAGTCAAGTACAACTATACTGGCTGAATACATTAAGAAATATTCCCTGTTCACCTCCCCTGGCTAATTTGCCTATTCAGCCATGCATGGCAAGTACAGAAAGCTTAGTTCTCCCCTTGTACAGTATAGCTCAGCTTTTTGTATGGAGAAAAGCCAAATCTCACAAATCATTCATGTGAGGCAGGCATCACATAAGAGTAATCTGACTTATTTTTATCTCAGGATCAAGAATCACCACAGTATTAACTTGAGGCAGAGTCAAAAATTTCAAATAAAAATGAAGGCTATCCTTAGAAACCTATTTATTTACACTTTTTCTCTCTATATTCTTAAGAGGAATTTCATGGAAGGAAAAAAACATGAGACTAGAGAAAGAATGAATTAACAATGCACAGAACAGTGGCTTGAGAGAGAAGCAAAGTCATAAAAATACATCCTTGTGTCCACCAACTTTAAATGCTGATGAGCTCTGTCAGCTTGAGCTGCACAAAGATTTTTCTCCCTTCCCAAGACACCCAGAAATGAGGCTGGGCTTGAGAAATTCACACTGGTGACAACACTGTCCCCAGAAGGTGGAACTGCAGAACCAAGGTGAGTCAAGCCAAGGGTGCACTTGCCATTGCAGGCCACTGGACAGGAGGCATGGACTGGGTTTTTCTTTCAGCCAGCACCAGCTTTTGCTCCACCAGGAATGCTATCATCATCCGACTGTAGACTTCTATCCATCTCCGCTTTTCCCATGATTCATCATCAAATTCTACACAGATCTACAGAAAGGAAGCAAAGGGAATGAGTGACCACCTATAAAATTCAGACACATTCGATACGGAAAAGATAAAACCACCAATTTACTCAAAAATAGAAAAAAAAATTAATGTACTTATAATTCCATCATGATTACTGCCTGTCACATAATCAAGCAATCACTAAAGCATCCAAGGCTGACCTAGCATTTTATAAGTAACACTCAATGTTAATTAGTTTATCATCATTACTGTCACATAACATTTACATTTAACTTTACAACTTCCCATCTCAAAAAAGTTTTATGTTACTCAAGGATAGTTAAACATGTTAACACTGTCACTGGTATTTACAGGAAGGAAAAATACACCCCCCCCCGCCCCTAAAAAGTCCACTAAAACCCAAAGGACTGCCTACAGTAGTGGCACGTGGTTTTACCACAAACTCTAGAGCACTGGAATAAACAAGCTGGTATTCTTTCCAGAAACATTTTAAAAATACCAATCCCAAATAATACCTTCAGCCAATTCATTGAAAGCACAAATGTCAGTAAGACAGTAAAGGTGATCAAATTATGTAATGTGAAGAAAATCACTTCCTGGCTGCTTTTAACTGCTGTTTATCCTTATAAATTTCAGGAACAACTACACAAATTTTTCAAAAGAAAAACTATTTCATGGCAAAAAAATGATGTATTGGCCAACATCTTTGGGATCGCATTACCCTAATTTCAAAGGCAAAATAGGAGATCAGCAACTTGTTGGGAAAGACCACAAATACAACTTGGCCTGAATACAGGAATTAGAACATCTTGGCAGAGGACTTCAGTCTTGGAAAAAACATTTCTCTTCCGAAAGAATACAGCAATCCAGCCTAAATACATTTAGTAAACAGCACAGAAATCTCAGAAACAGTTCCTGGTGTTTTATCATCCCTCTCAGGGGAAAGGCAAGTGAAAACATGCACATAAACAGCACTACCACAGCTACGAGTCATAGACCTAATGGGTACAGAAATGAACTTAGTAATTTTGAGTTGTACAGAAACAATGAAGGCGATAAGCAAATAACCCGAACCAGAACGGCTTGTTTTGTCTACTGCATCAACACTGCACACACAGGAAATACAGCTGAGAAAATAATTCCCACAGCAGATGACAGTCCTTTCATAGAAAATAAAAATTGAAATAAATACTTCTACTCTTTTACAGGAGGAATATTTATGCCCCCTCTCAGTTATTATTCGGGTCTATCATGCTTGCACAGAGCTTCGAGAGGAAAGGAGATGGGTGTGTTTTGGTACAAAGCTCTCCACACCTCCACTGCTCACTCTGCAACTTCTTTAACGCTTCAACTGGAGAACACATCAAGTCAATCGCTTCTGGCAGAGCCATAATCAGCTACAAAGCTCACAAAAGAGTCTCCAGAAGCGCCTGCTTCTTCTCGTCAGAGAAAGTCCCTAAGAGTTTTCTGCACCAAGAACCTCCTCCTCACTACCAGCACGGCACAGGGCACAGCCCCGCGCCCAAAAATGGACAAAGCTCCACCCCTGCCGCAGATCCACAACAACAAGCTGGTAACAAAGTTTACGTTTTCAAGAAAGAGTTAGAAACATCATTAGAAAAAAAGTTTCGTTTTGTTTAACAAGTAAGGGGATCTTCTTCAGTTAATCGGAGGTCACAAGTTCGCATTACCAAACAAAGAGGAAAGGAGACAAAATTGAGAGATGGTGCTGTTCTTACTGTCACAGGACAGCCATCGATGTCCTCTGTAGAAACAAGCACAACATTCAAGATGCCGCTGCTACAATGGAGTTTTGTCCTTGGGGAGTAGGCACTCAGTCTATACTCTAGTAAGTGCCCAGACATAGCTGAATACTTTTAATGACTACAGTTGCCAAATAAAGCCCCTCAACAACTTCACAGCCAAGCCGTAAACATCGCTTGACTTCCACACAAAATACGCTAACCAATTACAACAATCTTGCAACAACTCTGTGCTCAAAAACCCACTTGGTAATCATTAATAAGAAGAGGCCACCATGCAAGAAGAGTCCAAGAAACCTCCAACACCAGGCATGAATTTGGTATGAGTTTAAAACCTAAGCACTTGTTCATGACCAGCTACTCCAAAGAGCAGGAAAGAAAAGTCACCAACCCAAATAACATTGGAGGGTTTCGGTTTCAACTCGGGGCAAAAACCTGTTCACAGCTGGCAAGATCTTAAACTGCCTTTAGGAAATAAACCACAGGCGCAGAGTGGGTGCGGTAAAAACCTGCTTTTCAAAATGCCGGTGGAAGAAAACACATTTATAATTAGTTAGAGATAATTTGCGGCTTTAGTACACGCACATCGGGGACTTGGGCAGGGGTGCACGTTTCCAAACATGTTGGCCAAGTCGCCGTCTCCTCTCCCCCCGAAAGCAGCATGTGCACAAACGCGTACACACACCCACACCAACTTCCCCGGTCACACTCTCGATTTAGTAGCTCTCCCTGGAAGTTCCCGGTTACCTTCAGGTCTTGTTTGGATATGTCCGTGTGTGACACAGCCCGGATCTTGCCCGACTTCCAGGGCCATTCCGAGATGAGGCTGGCGTCCCACGTCCTGTCCTCCTCCTCCGACAGGCAGAGGAACCTCTTCCCCACGAGCAGCGACCAGCTCCCCTCGAGCCTCAGCACCATTTTAACTCATCGGGAGGCCTTCAGCGAGGAAAGCGACGGAAGGAGGAGAGAAACACACAGGGCAGGGCGGTGAGCGCTTCCTCCTTCCTCTCCCGGCCGCCCCCCCGCTTCTCCAAGCAGCTCCAGCCGGACCCCCACAGGTCGCCCCCTCCGCCCACGGTCCTGTTAATCACTGCTCGGCGGGGGTGGGTGGAAGGAAACACCAGAAGGTATTTTCAGAACGACTGCAGCGCAGCTCCC